GAATGCCGTGGCCAGACTTCTCAGTGGTGTGAAAAAATACCAACACATTTCACCCACTCTGGCTGCATTGCATTGGCTGCCCATCCGATTCCGCATCGACTTCAAAGCGTTAATGCTTACGTATAAAGCCCTAAACGGCTTAGGGCCTCGATACTTGACGGAACGCCTACTTCTAACAAGATCTACCCGTGTCACTTGCGCGAGCCAGGAGGTGAGGCTGAGGAGCCTAACGCCGAGGGAGGCCCGGAAGGAAAAGACAAGAAATTGGGCCTTCTTGGCGGTGGCTCCTCACCTCTGGAATAACCTACCCCCTGATATTCGCGCGGCTCCCTCGCTGGGTATTTTAAAAAATCAACTAAAAACACTGATGTTTCGGCAGACCTTCCCTCAGCCAAGTCCTGATTTCCCCTCTCTTTCCTCTTCCTAGTGTCTGTCCCATCTTGTCGAAAGTCTTTCCCCTTATATAAAATTGTTTTTAATTACATTGTTGTATTTTTGTTGTAAGCCGCCTAGAGTGGTCTTAATCGACTAGATAGGCGGGATATAAATAAAATAAAATAAAATAAAATAAATAAAACAGGTGCTCAAAATCCAGATTAATTGTGATTTGTAATACTCTTCCTTACCAGTAGATGGAAATGTGATGCAGAGAGGGATGTGATAAAGGCACACAAGCGGATGCAGACATAGTGATAAAACGTGGCAGAATGCTCCACTTGCTCTGTTCCTGTTGCTCTTGGCAAAACAATAGGGAGGGAAAGCTCACCAGAGCACTGCTGAAGACTGTGGAAGAGGGCTGTAAACAAGGGCATCCTATACAGAAGAGAACAGCAAAGTTACTTCTTTGCTACAAGATGACCAGAAAATACTTTTTCCTGTTTTCAGATTTTGAGATACATTTCTGACAATGTATAATAAATATAAAATAAAAAACGGAAGGAAGGACAAAATAAACAGTAACTGATGCACTGAAGCATTTAAGTTGGATATGCAATTTCTACGTAGCAAAACACCAGTTAATGAACAATACCAATTAGGGTAACAGATTATAATCGCTTGACTTACATTGCCTTCTTGTGAAACAGATTGGCTTTGTGAGATAGGCTACACCCCACATTTTACAGAACCTTTCTGGAGGACTAGATGGTTCTATTGCATTCATGCACAGTGCAATATATATTCAGGAAGTTATGGGTTTCACAACTTCTTTTTGTTAGTACATGAGGATGATGTTAGGATTTGTAGGCAGCTAAGGATCCTGAAGCTGAGGCTCCAATACGTTGGCCATCTCATGAGAAGAGAAGACTCCCTGGAAAAGACGTTGATGTTGGGAAAGTGTGAAGCCAAGAGGAGAAGGGGACGACAGAGGATGAGATGGTTGGACAGCGTCATCGAAGCAACCAACATGAATTTGACCAAACTCCAGGAGGCAGTGGAAGACAGGAGAGCCTGGTGTGCTCTGGTCCATGGGGTCACAAAGAGTTGTATCCAACTGTATGTAACTTTACAGTGAATTCTGATAATATTTACTTGCTTCATTAAACTACCCTTTCTTCAGCACATCAGTGCACCTGTTCTTTACTAAGCACATTCAAAGCCTCCCAGTTCTACCAAAACAGAGCATTCTGAGTCAAATAAATGTCTACCTGCTAACAAAGATCCTTTGCAGTGACAAGGAATTACCTGGGAATTTCTTCTGGGAGCTGACTTCCTGTGTTCCAAAGAGCTTGCACATCCTGGGTTTCAGATGGCAGTTTGTCCATTACAGATATTAGAAGACGACATTGTGGAAGGTACAGATCAGGGGAGAGATCTGGAATCAATTTGTTAAAAAGATTTTTTAAAAAAAACCTTAAGAATAAGTCTGTGCTCCTATGACGTAATACTATAATACCGGGAGTTCAAATCCCCACTGGGCAGGACTCAATGATCAACAGGGTCCCTTTCAACTCTGCAGTTACAAGTTGACTTACAAACTTAATCTGTTCCAGAAGGAAGTTTGTAAGTCGAAAAGTTCGTACTGTAAGTTGAATCAGCATTTCCCATAGGAATGCACTGAAAAACAATTATTCCGTTTCGGCTGTTTTTGGTTCTTAAGTCGAGGGGTGGTTTGTAACTCGAATCATTAGTTCCCATAGGAACTAATGCAAAGCCGGTTAGTGTGTTCTTGCCACTAGGGGAATAATTTTTTTCCTTTTAACCTAAGATAAGTTACAAAAAAGAAAAAGAAAAGAGGGAGGGAAGGAGGGAACAGACACCTTTTCAATAGAACACCTTGAAAAGCACCTTTTCAGCCAAGACTAACACCTTTTGTGAAAAACCAAGCACCTTTCAGACAACAGATTGTGATGATTTGTGTTTTTATGTGTATTAGAATGGGATATGTAGTCCTAAGATTGTCACAATAGCATCCATTTTGATTTAAAGTCTGCTCTGTAGTAGGAAAGTTTTACATGCTGTTTCAGAGAAGCTTCGCCCTCTGGTTATCTCGTTGCTAGGCTGAGTAGAGAGCAGAGACTTTCGTAGTCAAAATAATTCTGCCACAAAGTATGATAACAACTGAAGCTCCATGAGAAAGTTAGGCGGGACAACAAGACCCAGGAGGCATTCTGGGAAGAAGAAGGAAGTCTTGGTGGATGATCTATGTCAAGAACTGGACAGGGGGAGTGTGTGTCTATTAGTTCCGCTGGAGCTCTCAGTGGCTTTCAATACCATGGTATCCTTCTGGATTGTCTCACTGGAATGGGGCTTGGAGGCACTCTTCTACAGTGCCTCCTCCAGTTCTTACTGGAGGAGAGAACTCAGAAGGTGGTGCTGAAGGACTCCTATTCAACACATTGGCCTGGGGGGTCCCTCAGGATTCTGTTTTTTCCCTTCTATTTAACATCTCCATGAAACGGGTTGTCCTGAGTTTTGGGGTCTGGTGTCACCAATATGCTGATGACACCCAACAAAATCTCTCCTTGCCATCTAAATCCGAGGAAGCTATTTCAGCTCTTGATCAGTGTCTTGTGTCAGGAATGGACTGGATGAGGTTGAATAAACTGAAACTTAATCCAGACAAGACAAAGGTGCTCCTGCTCAGTTGAAAGGCAGCTCAAGGAATAAGGCTGCAGCCTGTGCTGAATGGGGCCGCACTTCCTCTGAAAACACAGGTGTGCAGCTTTTTGTGCTTCTGGATTTATTCTTGAGCCTGAATGCCTAGATTTTGGCTGTGGCCAGGAGTGCATTTGCACAGTTTGTTTGTTTGTTTGTTTATTGCATTTGTACCCCGCCTATCTAGTCGAACGACTACCGGTGGCAGTATTTTATTCTCTGCTACAAAGGGATTCAATGTAGATGGTCAGGACATTTGTACCTACCTACCTGAAGTTTTGCTTAATACCACTTCGAGAAAAGGCCGAAAAGAAAGCAGATGAAGGAGAAGTGGATCCAATGCCATTAGGAATTCCCTTGCTATTTCACTGTGATGAGCCTCAGAAATCACTGGAGCATGAAGGCTTGGAGGAAACTTGCTGTCAGAAAAATATAGTGGTTAGCACTTGCATTCTGAACTATATTCTGCCTGAATTTCTAAGAATCAAAATGGTATAAATCACAGATTTATGCTATTACATCTGCTATTATTAACTGGGAAATACATTTTTCTACAAGATTCTGATTCTTTCCAACGTACAATTCAAAGGGCCAGTTTTGACCAACAAAGCCCCATATGGCTTAACCCAGTGTTCAGTGGTTAAACTGCAGTAGTACCATGAAGACTGCTCACAACCAGAGTGCAATCCCAGGCTCAGGTTGACTCAGCCCTTCCATCCTTCTGAGGTTGATAAACTGAGTACCCAGCTCATGGGGGGGGGGAGGGGTTGTGCAACATATAGCCTGCATAATTAAATTATAAGTTGCCCAGAGAATACTTCGGTACTATGGGGTGGTATATATAGCCTGCATAATTAAATTATAAGTTGCCCAGAGAATACTTCTGTGCTATGGAGTGGTATATAAAGCAGAACACTTTGCTATTGTTCCTTTCAACACCACATTCCTTAGGGGGCACATATCCCTGCGGGAACCTGCCTATGTGTTAATATGAGCCCCTGAGTTCCTACTCCAGGCCCTGCCTTCTGCTAATGAGAAATACATGGTAACAAAAAAGGACTTCTTTTGTTCTGGCACTCCATCATTCAAATGTCATCAAAGAGCACCTACTACCATTCTTGAAGTTCTTTATGGCACCAAGTGATTTTTTTTTTAGTTACCCAGGCCTTAAGGATTAAAGATTTCACTGAGTGTGAGGCTGAGAGTACTGTGACAGAGAATTCTCAGAGTGTGCCATCCACCTCCTTGACAGAAGATGTGAGGAGACAGATTTTGGTGGTGGAAGAGACCATGAGAGGGCTGTGTATAAAAGAAAACAAACAGAAAAGACCCGAAGAGGGTGACCAGATAGGGGGCAGTGCTTTGGAGGGAAGAGTATAAAAGAGAATGAAAGGAGGGAGGAGGGGGAGCCGAAGAAAGAGAGGGAGGAAGAGACATGCTGTTGGGGAACTGAGGAGAAGGATGAGAAAGATTGGGAAGAGACAGTGGAAGAGGATCCTTGGACAGGAGAATGGAGAGAGTTCAAGGTGCCTAGGGACTATGCAGAGAAGGTGTGGAAAAGACAGGCATACTGTAAGCCACCTTGCTGAGGTGAAACTGAAGAGAGGGAACAAGGAAAGAAATTCAGAAATTGGCAGAAGAGGGACGCCCAGTGTTGTGAGAGCAGAATATGGACCACAAGCCCTGGGAGATCCTGTAGAGGAAAGTCCTTTCCGACCCAGATTATGGCCAACCCCAGGCCAGGAGGTTTCGAAGCCTCAGATGGGGTGGATTTTTCACCCTCGTCAATGAGGTTGAGTGATGCGTTAACAGAGGAAAGGGGCATATCCCACAAATGGCAATATAAAGAGCTTAGTTCCACACCTCTACCTGTTGAGAGGGTTTTGTTAATATTTGAAGAAAAACTACTGGAAAGAAAGCCTCTGAAGCAAGAGGAAGAAATGGTTAATGAGGTTGGCAATAGCAGTTTGTTAAAAATAAAAGAAGTGTTGATGTTAACTGATGGGGTCCGCGAGTCATCTATGAGGGAATCAGCGGATAAGGGAGAAAGGGGAACTGCACCTAGTCATATTCAGGCATGTTGTAATGTTTTAATTAATAATAATTATATGCCATCAAATTGATTCTAGCATATGGCAGTCTTCCCATGGTTTTCTAGACATAATGTCTCAGGAGTGGCTTACTAGTCCCTCCTTCTGGTGGGCTCTGAGAGCTTTCAGCTTTCCCAAAGCCACACAGATGGAAAGCATGTACTGCCACTCGTCATACACACTTCAGGTGATCTCAGCTGGCCCCATTCCCGCAACAGGGTCCTCAAACATCAGGCTCATGGCTCAGCAGTGAGGAGCTCCACCCAGTCAGCTATGCCAGCTCATTTCATTATATATCACTGCTATATTTTAATTTTTACTGTTCATGGCTTTTAAGTTGTAATTTTTATATTTCATCACAAGCCAGCATTGCTGAGGAAAAGCCTATAAAATCTCAAATAAGATAAACAACCTGTTAGTGTTTCCTAAGATGAGTTAGCTTCACTGAGATATTGAATGAAAGGAAGCATTTGGCTAGCTATTTAAAAAACACATTTTTAAAAGCCTTTGATCACAGATTTATCTGTGAGACAAGGTCATAACTGTTTGTGGAGTGGTGCTCATATTTGTCTTCTCAGACAGGCAGCTCAGACACCGTGCTTGATGTTGCTGAAAACACTGAAGGATACACTAGATTCACCAAGACTGCACTTGCACAGAGGGAACGAGGCAGTTCAAGATGCAAAGTCAAAAGACGTCTGTTTTCATTTAAGATGCTCTGCAATCTGCAGTGTGACAGTCATTATGTCAATAATGTGGCTTTCAAATTTCTTCCAAATCCCAGCAAAATTAAATGGAATTGAACTGAATTGATGGGATGATAATCTACAATGAAACAAAATTAGTTACCATTTATGCTTCACTTACCTGTATATCTGAAGATATGTTTGATGAAGCTGAGAACAGGAGTCCACCAAGAAAGGAATGAACTCCTGTAAAGCAAACAGTGTCAAACATTTTAATTTAAACTGTGTCCGTTTAAAACTATTTATTTATATCCTGCCTTTCTCCCAACATAAGGACGCAAGGCAAAGCATTAAAAATGTATATATTAAAACAACTGAAAAAAATTACATTGCAATATTTTAAAAAAAACAAATAAAACCACATTTAAAAGAAACAAAATACAGTGCTAAAACTCCTTCCTCTATCTAAATCTGTACTGTATCTCCATTTCCTTTCATTCCCCTGCATAAGCTAGAACTTTGTCTTAACAAGTCAAAGTGTGGGGTTGCAGGGTCTTCCAGGCACCTCACTTTCCCCTGAATTTTCTGTGGAATAATTTTTCTCTTGAAATTCATATTATCCAATCTCTACTGTCTTTTAGAAAACAATGGTTGAAATCCTCTTGGTTAGCATAGTGTGTTGTCTAGAAAAATAATAATAGTTTGCTGTCAAGTCAGTTCTCATTTATGGTGGCCCTCCTCCAGGGCTTCCTAAGTAGAAGCAACTCAGAAGTTGCTTACCATTCCCTTCTTCTAGGCTCACTGAATAGTGAAGATTTGGTGAGTCAACTCCTCCATATTGATTCAAATGGGCCTATTTTACTTGTGACTTACTTTAGTGTAGTAAGTTGCAAGATAATAGTGTGCTGTCAAGTCAGTTCTCATTTATGGTGGCCCTCTTCCAGGGCTTCCTAAGTAGAAGCACCTCAGAAGTTGCTTACCATTCCCTTCTTCTAGGCTCACTGAATAGTGAAGATTTGGTGAGTCAACTCCTCCATATTGATTCAAATGGGCCTATTTTACTTGTGACTTACTTTAGTGTAGTAAGTTGCAAGTAGAGGAATCAGTACAATTTATGGAGGAGTTAACCCACCAAATCCCTACTAATTCAATTAGATCATGAGCAAAAATGCAAGTAGCAGTTATCACACAAACACCTTGTTCAGAATAACGTTGTCATCACCGTACACCCACAACCCTTTATTGTTACAGAGAGTTCCAAATCCCACTGGTGACCCTAACAAATATCAATCTGCTGTCTGATGGACTAACTTAAAGTAAGATTTTCTTTTCCGCCCTTTCTCCTTGCCTTTTTGGCTTCGGAGCTCTCAAAGGGGTTTCCCTCCCGACATCGGAGGAAGCCCTTTGAGAGCTCTGAAGGCGCCGACTGCGACGGCAGGGACCCCCAAGGAGGTCTCCCATGGTGGCAGGCAAGCCCTGGGAGACCTCCCTGGATGTCCGGCCACCGCAATCGGCACCTTTGGAGCTCTCAAAGGGCTTTCCCCCAGACATCGGAGGAAGCCCTTTGAGAACTCCGAAGGCAAAAAGGCAGGGAGAAAGGGTGGGAAATTCGAATTTCCCGCCCTTTCTCCCTGCCTTTTTGCAGGGAGCCATTTAGGAACGGCTCCGTTGGCAAAAAATGGCAATGACTTGCAAACAGAGCCTTGACCTCATTCTTAGGTCGAGGCTCCATTTGCAAGTCAATGCCAATTTTTGCCAACAGAGCTGTTCGTAAATAGAAAAGTTCATATGTAGGGACATTTGTAAGTCGAGGGTTGACTGTATGTATAATTGTTCGTCCATTTCTATCTACACATTTTCTATCATGTCTGTATCAATATCATATGTAATGTATGTTCATTAAGTACTATTTGTTTTTATGGTTGTTGTAGGTTTTTCAGGCTCCTTGGCCATGTTCTTAAGCAGCCTGAAAAACCTACAACAACCATCGGATCCAGGCCGTTAAAGCCTTCGAGAATACTATTTGTTTTACCTCATCCTTATATCAATTTACCTTAAGAACCACCTTGTTTTTATTTATTTATTTATTTATTTATTTATTTATTTATTTATTTATTTATTTATTTATTTATTTATTTAA